AAGACCTGCTCAAAAAAACAAAAAAAAAAAAAAAAAAAAAAAAAAAAAGGACTATGCATACCAAAAAAAGTAATTTTTTTTAAAATGCAGAATATAAATTATCTAAACCAAACTGGATAACATCATGTCATGCTTATAGCACATGTCAAAGAAAAGTGCTCCATTTAGTGAGATAATGCTCAGACCAAAAGACTTTAGTCTGTTTTGAAACCATAGTTCTTGTGCTGATCAGTAGGTTCAGCTCACAGCATCAAAGTCTAATCCAAAACATTGGAAGCAAACATCCTGGGAAGCACTGAGAGAAGCCACGGAGCACTTCAGAGGGAGTCTCAACTGACTGATGGTTTCTTTCTTGACAAAGTAAATAAATGTTTAAAAAAAAAAAAAAGGAAATGAAGGACCTGAGTTTGACAATGAGGTCCTCATTATTTACTACAATTCTCTCTACACAAAATACCCAGTAATATTTACTCTCCTTCTCTGTACTAAGTGTTCTTTGATGGTCTCTTGGTTTTCGAGACAGGGACTCCCTATGTAGCCCAGGCTTGCTTCCTGCCTCCATGCTACAAGTGCTGGGATCACAGGCCTTCCTTTTCTCACATTTCTCAGAACTAAGGATACAGCACACTAGCGGCATGTCAAGTCCAGCATCTCTTCTTCCCACAGCTGTGGGGGCACCATCACCTCTTACCACTGACGGCTTCTCAGTATGCTAACCAGGCCTTTTCTGTCACCAGTGAATTACAATGTACTTTTTTCCTGTCTCCACCCTCATCCTCACAAAGGAAAATTATCAAGGTAATGAGTAAATAGTTGATAATTCACTAACAGCAGCATTACTCTTCTCAAAGATCTCGTGTGCCAGCAGTTTCAAAGGGCCACAGTACACTCCAGATTTGGCTGACAAGTATCTCTGGATTGCATGGTAAGTCTTCCCACTGTTGGTGGGGCCTGAGTGGAATACTATCTTCCGTCGTATGGCTCTGGCTTCTGGGTACCTAAAACATGAGGAAGTAAAGAGCTTAATTCTGTTAACCTCATAATCTATTCTAGCAGACAGTCTTTGAAAACTCAATGAAGGGATGTACAACCCCATCAAAAAAAACAAGACGTGTTGGGCGGTGGTGGCACATGTCTTTAATCTCAGAACTCGAGAGGCAGAGGCAGGTGGATCTCTGTGAGTTTGAGACCAGCCTGGTCTACAAGCGCTAGTTCCAGGACAGCCTCCAAAGCAACAGAGAAAAAAACCCTTTTTTGGAAAAAAAAAAAAAAAAAAAAAAAAGACACCAAATAGCCCCAGGCCTTGTAACTTCAGTATTTATAACTATAATGACTGAGCCTCTGTTTCTGCCACATGCACTGACTGATGAGATGTACCCTACCACCATATGCAAATACAAAACTGGGCAAAATATTGCAGCAGCAATTCTTTAGGACAGAGACAACAGGCAGTGAGGACTAGACACTTGACAGGAGGAGGCACTAGAGATGATCTCATTACACCCCAGCAGGACACAGATGGAACTCAAGCAAAGGACAACAGTTGCCCTGAACAAGCAGGAAATCAGACTTAGAGCTGCTCAAGTAGCTGGTTTTTTTTTTCTTTTTCTTTTTTTAAGACAGGTTTTCAGCCACCGGTGGTAGCACACACCTTTAATGCCAGCGGTCAGGAGGCAGAGGCAGAGGCAGGCAGATTTCTGTGAGTTTGAGACCACCCTGGTCTACAAAGTGAATTTCAGGACAGGCTCCAAAATTACACAGAGAAACCCTGTCTTGAAAAACAAAACAAAACAAAACAAAACAAAAAAGACAAGGTTTCATGTAGCCTAGTTTGGCCTTCAACTTGCTATATAGCCAAGAATGACTGATTTTTTGTTTTTTCTTTTTTCTCCTTACTATTTTGGGGACTGGGTATGTCTATGTAGCCCTGGCTATCCTGGAACTTTCTATGTAGGCCAGGCTGGCCTCAAACTCAAGAGATACTCCTTCCTCTGTTTCCTGAGTGTTGGAACTAAAGGTGTACATCACTGTGACCAGCAACTTTGAATTCTTAACTCTCTGCCTCTAGCTCCCAAATGCTGAGATTACAAGCATGTACCACCACACCTGGCCTTATACAGTGCTGGGAATCAAGCCTGAGCTTTGTCCCTGCTAGACAAACGACCTAGCAACTGAGCAAAATCTCCAATCTGAATTGAAGCATCTGGAATTTGATGGCAGAATGTCAGAGGCCAGAAAAGACGAAGGGTGGGAGCCCTGAAGCTACCGTGTGTGGGTGGAAGTGGAGGAGTGTCTTTGGTCAAGGGCTGGACTAGAACTTGTAGGGTGAGAACTGGCAGGGTCTAGGGAGCAGCCCACAGGATTTGAGTGGAGTGACTCAAAGGCATCACAGTGCTAAGAGATGTTGTAGCTCCAGCTGTGGGGAAAAAAACTATTAACATTCAGGCAGTGGGCTAAGACATCAGGACTATAACTTACAACAATTTTGCAAAAGAAACTTTATCTGAAATTGTTCCTAAGAGAACCTTAACCCAAGTTCTATCACGATGAAAGGGACACACCAATAAAATGTCTGACAGAATTAATGCCTTTGTTATTTTATTCTGTTTTGCTTTCAGGGAAAACAAAATGTAGACTCTATACTTCATTATAAAACAAAAGCATCAACATTAGTTTCCCAAAATTAGGAAACGCTGTATCAGTAAGTACAAGAACTAACCAGTTGGGTGGTATCCTCAAGTCACTGATTTTACGGAGATCTTCCTTGCATTCCAATACAGGAAATATTTGTTTGGCATGTCTCAAGAAAAATGGAAATAAATCATCCACGTGAGCTGTAAAATAGCACAGTACATTAGCAGGATCGCTCTGCATGAATATTCAAAACCCAACCTCAAACTTGCACATCTCCCAATTCAGACCCCCCACTGCTAAGAAAACCATTTCTTTCTTTTCATCATCTTTTTTGACTTTTGAGACAGGGTTTCTCTCTATAGCTTTGGCACCTGTCCTGGCACTCACTCTGTAGACAAGGCTGGCCTCAAACTCACAGAGATCCTCCTGCCTCTGCCTCCCAAGTGCTGGCACTAAAGGTGTGCCTGGTGGAAAGCAATTCTTTTGAGTGAGTCCTAGAGCAAGAGGCCTCACCTTTCTTTGGGACCCCATTTTTTTATTCCTTCCTTCTCCAAACTTCACTTACATCTCTGGCAGAACAAAAGTAGCTGTCAGCTACTTTTGTATAAACATCCAAAGGTTAACGCAGTGGGGAATTAAACTAAAAATAAAGAGCATGGCCAGATGGTGGTGGCTCACACCTTTAATCCCAGCACATGAGAGGCAGAGGCAGGTGGATCTCTGTGAGTTTGAGGCCGGGCTGGTCTACAGAGTGAGTTCCAGGACAGCCAGGGCTACACAGAGAAACCCTGCCTGGGAAAACAAAACAAACACACACACACACACACACACACACACACACACACACACACACACACACAAAGAGCCTGGGCATAAATTAGAGAGATTTGAACTTTTCTTTTTTGAAATGTTTTGTAGGATGGCTATTGGAGCTTCAACCCAGGGCTTTGTACATGCTAAGCCCATGATCAAACCCTGAGCTACACTTCCACCCCAGCTCAATGGCTTTTTTGTTTGTTTAATTTCAAAGACCAAGTTTCTTCACACCTTAGTGGCCCTGAGAGGAAAGTAGAGTGTGTCCCATTTGGCTATGTATCAGGTTCTCCTTCAGTGCCTGGCACAAGCTAAAAGTCTAAGCATTAAATGCATTTAACATTATAATTAAGACACCAAGACACTCGTGGAAATCAAACAATAATGTTCCTACTTTGTTTTTGTTTTAAGACAGAGCCCAGACAGGCCTGGGACTCAGAAATCTCACCTCAGCCTTCAGAGGGCTAGGACTAGAGGACCATCATAGCCAGTAATTTGCTCTTCCTTTAGGACAAGAGCTTTATGGAGGAGAAAGAAGCAGTGGCAGAAACAGATGGACAGCAGAGGATGATGGGTCAAAGACAGTCTATGCAGGATTTACTGAGGGGATTTGATGTAAAGACACAGTGACCTATTAGGACCTCTACTGACAGCAGTGACTTCTTTTAAGAGTACATTGCCAGGACCTATTCTAAAACAAGGAAGCTCTGATAGAGAAATAAACATGAAGAATAAGAAGTAACAGAAAGCACACTCTCCAATATTCTTAAGATTCTCAGGGCTTAAGAGATGGCTCAGTGCACACAAGTGTTCACGGTACAAGCATGAGGGCCTGAGTACAGACCCTAGCACACACCTAAAAAGCTGGGCAAGGCTACCAGCGCATCTCTAACTCCAGCTTTGGAAGGAGAAGGGGAAGGGGCAGGGAGACAGTAGGATTGCTGGGGTTTGCCAGCCACCAGTCCAGCTCTAGGTTTAGTGACAGCCAGTGATAGGTTGGACCCTATTGCCTTCCTCTAGTCTCTGAATGAGTACTCAAAGGAACACACAGGTATACACACACACACACACACACACACACACACACACACACACACACACACACACTTAAAACTTCCTCTCAGTGGGCTGGTGCAAGAGTACTGGTTGCTCTTCCAGAGGACCCAAGTTCGATTCCCAGCACCCACATGATAGCTCACAACCTTCCCCAACTCCAGTTCTGGGGGATCTGATACCTTCCTCTGGCCTCTGCAGGCACCACAAGGCATAACGCCCATACACATAAAATAAAAATAATTTTTAAGAAACCCTTTAAGATGGCCAAGGAGATAGCTCAGCAAGGAAAGGTACTGCCATACAATCCCAGGAACCTGGGAAGAATGATGGAAGAAGATCGCAGACTCCTAAAAGTTGTCCTCTGATCTCCAACCAAATGAGTGCCATGGCATACACACATGCTTCTCTTTTCTCTTCTCTCCTTCCCCTCAACTTTGCTCCCTCCTCCCTTTCTCACACACACAAAATAATTTTTTTAAAGAATTCTCTAAGCACTTGCCTGCACTGAAGCAGATGTCATTCAAGACAATGTGAATGTCCACATCCAGAGAATGAGACTGCATGATGTAATTTCTAAAGCTGATGAAAGCTTGGTGGAAGAGACGGGCTGTGGAAAACACAAAATCAAAGCATACAAGACTCAGCCTTTATTTCGACTCTCAGTATCAAAACATACACTACACACCACAGCAAGTAGTACAGCTGGTTTGTTACAAGCTGGGTTAAAAGTGAAACTAAACAGGACACTGAGGCAGGCTGAGCATGCAGCTCTTGCTCTGTGCAGTCTGGCTTGCAAGGTGGGATTGTGGGTCCCAGAAGGCAAGGAGAGAGACTTTTCTTCGGACTACAATGATGTACCATAACTGCACGTAACAAAGTACAAAGTAAAATGTAACAACTCTATAAAGATGTTACTGGTAGAGCTGGAGACATAGCTAGCTCAGTGGTTAAGAACACTGGCTGCTCTTCCAGGGAAACAAGGCTCCATTCCCAGTACCCACACAGTGGCTCACAACGATCTCTAACTCCAATTCCAGGGTATCCAGTGCCCTGTTCCATGGGCACTGCATGAAAGTGGTGCATAGCTATATATACACATATAAAATGTCAAAATACACATATAAAATGATAAAAAATAATTAAAAATAAATGTTAAAAAGCTGTTTTCCTTACCATCAAGTCCATAGTCAGCACTCAGTTTTTGAATTTCTTGCCTTTTATAAAACTTGTCTAAGATTTTCTTTACTTCATCTAAAAGAGAGATAGAAAGTTTAACATTTGTTTCCCAATTTAGACACACCTACAAAAATCAAAAGGAATGTGAAGTCATGACGCTAAAGGCAGCAGCCTCAGGAAGGCTGCAAGAATGTGAAGCTTTGAGGTGATCCCTCTGGGTGACCTACTGACATGCACAATGGAGTGCAAGGAAAATGACAGAGTAAAACCACACAGCATCCCCACTGCACCACAGACACACACAGAGAGAACCAACTCCACAGGATGGTCAACGCTCCCAGAGTAGCCATTACTTCCAAGAAGAGGTGAACTTCACGACTAGCAGTAGTATCAGCCATGGTGGCCCATGCCAATAATCAGTGACAATCACCTGTCTGAGAACAGCCTGGGCTTCTTTTGACTTGGGAAAAGGTAGAGGGGGAGGAAGGGGAAAGGAGTCCTATTTTGTTCTTAGTTGATTTCATTATTGGGAAATGATCATAGGGCTTTGCACATGCTTGGCAAGTGTTATATCCCGGGGCTATAGCCTCAAGCTCATCTAAAAACAAACAAACAAAAACCCTATTTTTTTTTGGGGGGGGGGTTCAAGACAGGGTTTCTTTGTAGCTTTGTAGCCTGTCCTGGCACTTGCTCTGTAGACCAGGCTGGCCTCGAACTCACAGAGATCCACCTGCCTCTGCCTCTAGAGTGCTGGGATTAAAGACATGCACCACCATCACCCAGCCCCCAAAACCTTAATTTTGAAATAGGATCTCTTTAAGTTGCCCTAGCTGGTTTGGAATTCACTCTGTAGCCCAGGATGGCACTGAACTTGCCATCCCTCTGCCTCAGATTCCCAAGATGAAATCTATATTTTAAAGACATAGTAGGAAGCATCAATTTTGCTTATTGAAGACAGCTGTCCTTCCTGGACAACTTATGTCTAGACCTGTGGTGTTCCTTCAGTCTCCAAGAATGTCATTCGGTTAGAGGAAACCTTTCACTCTCCTAATCTGAAAATCCGTCCCATTGAAAACATTCACTCGCTTGTCAAACTCACGCAAACCTAGTTGGCGGGATAAAATCCACGGCCACAGTAATACTAAGGTTTTGTTTTGTTTTTTTTTCCCCCTCCATCTCTGGAACCTGAGACGGTAGGGATGTCTACTACTTTTGGCAAGGGCACATTTTATCAACTTTTATCTTGTACTTACATGCCGGTCTACCTCACGGGAGAGTATATTTATTGAGAAATCGGGATGAGACTCGTCGTCTTGGCAACAAGACGACATCTTAACATTGTTAAAACATCCACATCCAATCAATGGCAAAGAATTCTGAAAGTCCTCACTGTCATTCCTTCACGCCCTCTGGGGATCCGAGGAGCACAAGCGGCACGCCACTTAAGGACAAAATTCTTTCTTAACCCTCTCAATGCAAAAGACAGAGTTCAACCACTTAGAGGAGGGACGGGAAGGATCAATGTCCCCATGAAGGGAGTTAAGAATGAATTGGCTCCGAGTGCCGAGGGCGCCAGAAAGGAGCACACACTGCACTCTGCAGGCCCGAGCCTCAGACCCCGCCGCTTCGCCGCGCGGTTCCAACACTCACTCTTGTCCAGAGGCCGAGTGAGCTCGGCGCCCACGTCGCCGTCGGCGCTGGGACCCTGAGGCTTCACTGTCAGCGGCACGAACAAGGACGTGTTCGGGGCTTTGGAGCCGCCAGAGGCAGAGGAGGAGGCGGCCAGGCAGGGAACGCGTCCTGGAGCCCCGGGAAAAGACCCCACCGAGGCGCGAAGGGCAGAGCAGGTGGCCGCCCGGGACCCAGCCCCGAGCCCCGCCGGGAGCCGAGCCCACAGCAGGACACACCGAGGTAAGGACATCGAGGCCGCGGCTCTAACCCGAGCCGGGAGAAGCCCGGCGACTGGGCGCCGAACAGTGACGCGCGCCGGCGCCCGCAGAGCGAAAGGACCCCGAGCGGGCTCAGGGCTGTCCTAGTGAGCGCCTGACCGTAAAGGAGAGGTAAGGGCAGGAAGTTCGCTCTCTTCAAGGAAGAATGACGTCTGTGTAAGGTACGCTGGAGAAGACGCGATCCCATGCTCTCACTCTTTCTGCGGCAATTGGCAGCAGCTTTCTCCAAAGAAGGAAAAACAATCTTTAGGGACGCCACATGTGAGCCGAGGGGAAACCGTGCAAGCATCGTCATGTGACCAAACTGGCCACTACGGTGAGCATGTAGCATCCTGTAGCACGTGGTTTTAAACGCTAAAGTTCATTTCCAAGAAAATTGGTGCATTATTATCCCTAGTTTCCTGGTAGGATAACGGTGGGGGACAAAGCTTGACCTGTTACAGATCAAGACGCTTTGCAGAGAAATTTCGTTGTACGACAGTAAGTAAAGTCCTTTTGTGACATGTGCGTCCCTACTCGGTGCTAGGACTTGATGGAACCATGCGCATGTTAGACATTTGCTCCACCACCGAGCTACAGGACTTACACATTAGTGTGAGTAGCTTGTGTTCCTCACAACTCGGAAGTCAGAACAAGGCAAAAGTAAGCGCTGTGTACTTGCTTAAAGATTAATCTCGGTTGTGTTTGTTGGATTGTTTACTCCCGAGGCTGAAACATAATTCAGAACAAACGGTCAGATGTTCTTCACACTCCCCCATTCCTACATTACGGTCTTATAACTTTAAGTGACATGTTGTATATAACATTCGGTGTCAAATAGGATTCTAGAACACTTTGCTAATTGCTTTTGATTTACAAGGTAACGTTAGGGATTTACGGAGAGGCCCTTTAAGTTCGGTTGGAACCTCCAGCTCGCCCCTACATGATCCAGAAAGCCCCATTCCTGTCTTTCCAAATCCCGCTCACTCAGAGTCTCTGAACATAGGAAAAGGTGCCAAAAGTCCAGTTCCCAATTCTTGACGGCTAGTACAGCTTCCTCTCCTGAAGCTGCCAGCTGCCCAAGTCCCCACATAAAGCACTCAGCTTTTGACCATATTGGGCACAAACCCAGCTTATGGAGGACACACCATCACCCCTTCTTTGCCTACAACCTACAAAGTCTCCCTGCTTTCGTTTGTGGGCGCCGGCCTCGATCTCTGGGACTGGAGAACCCACCAAGGAGTTGCTTTGCTTAAATAAACCTGTTAGACTTTTTCAGTTTGGCTTGATCTGGCTTACTAGGGCGGGGTGGGAGTGGAGTGGACAGAAAACCCATTACTTTAATTTCTGGTGTGATTTTGGTGATAATGGTAACAATTAAATAATGCAAGTGTTATTTATTCTAACCGGCTAACAGCAAGTCTAAGTAGTAATTTCCAAAGCTATAACGAATTTCTGTAGATTTAAAAGCAAACAAGAAGTATGGAGGAATAAATGATAAGTCTAGTCCGAACACAAATGTATTTTGTCTGGAAGTCAGGTTGCTGTTAAATCTGATATTCAGGAGGAGAAAAGACCCAAGTCCACGATTGTCCAATTAAAGCAAACTGTATTGGGGGGTGCACCCGAGACTGGCCAGTCAGATGCCTCACCCTAAGTCAAGTTGTAATTAAGAGAGCAGCCCCCACTGGCCTTTTAAGTCCCTGTTATAGGAGCAAGTGTTCACAGAGATGGGCAGTTATTATTAAAAGGATACAACAAAAAGGCAAGGAACAAAGGCAAGAATATACATCCAGTGAATGGGTCAGATCAGAATTGGTCAAGGCAACTTAGAAATAAAAGGGAGCCTAACAGAAGCAGAATGTCCTTTATTAGAACAATGAATGGCAGAAAAGGAAATTATTGGGGTGTAAGTTCCATCTACAGATCTGTGTGCTGCTCTAACAGAGGTTCTTACCAATATGTTGACTTCTTGTCCTTTCCCAGCTCTAAACTGCCTGTAGATGTTATCAGTGTGTGAACTTTCTTTTATGGAGTTTCTCACCTTGCCTGAAGCTTTCAGGTCATTAACCCTTCAGCCCTGACACCCCTCCCCCAATACACACACACAACTAACCACCATACCTCCACTTCAAACCCACATCTTGCTTGACAGAACAGTTTCCTCCTTCCTTGCAAGGAAATAATGCTTGTTTTTGTCTCTGTAAACCATATTTTCTTACATCAAGGCTGAGAGCTCTTTGTGGCAGAAGGATACTCTCAGTTGCCAGCTTCAATAAAGGACTCTCTTACTTGGCCTTATATTTGTGGTTGTCCATATATTACTCACATGGACATCTCATTTGGAGGCCCCAGTGAGCTATCCCATACCACCCGAGACTCAGCCTCACTTCAGAGGGAGGCATGCCCTGAAGACTTTCCAAGGTCCCACTCTTCTTGCTGAGTCTAGCGAGGTCCAGTATGACTGCCATCTTTCCAAGCACCAATCCATATGGTTCTCCTGGGAGGTAAACCTGTAGTCTATATTCAGTTCTGGTTCAAGAAGGGCATTCCTTTAATCCCAACACTTGAGAGGCAGAGATCTCTGAGTTTGAGGCAAGCCTGGTCTATAGAGCAAGTTCCAGGACAGTCTCCAAAGCTACAGAGAAACTCTGTCTCAAAAAATGGGGGAGGATGTAGGGAGAGACCCTGGATACCTGTAGTGCTGAACACGCCCATTTGAGTGTGGTCACAGGTACCCAGAGGCGTAGGATAAAGAGTGAGGAGGAGAGGCTCTCAATCTCTCCAGGGTTAGGCCAGGTCAGGTCTCGGAGGCATCTGGGACTGGGCTCCTTGGAGTACCAATCTGGTTATCGGCTCCCTGTGTGAGTATTCCTTCTTAGTAGATATTATCATTTAACAACCTATCCTGTGTTCGATTCTGTTCCTTTTTGGGAGGGGGGAGCACCAAATTCTACCCATTCCTTTTGAGTTGTGTTTTTGGAGAACCTTCATAGGTGTGTGGTTATGTGGCCTTGCTGCCATCACTTATGTAGAAGTACAGAGAATCAGGAATGTTGATTCATATTTGTAAACCCAGCATTCAAGAGACTGAGATAGGGTAGTGTCTCTAGCTGCAAACAGATCTGGTCTCAAATAGAGGAAAAGCCTTTCTTCCCCAACTATGTCAAAATAAGAAAACATTAATGAGGAAAACAAAATTTTAAATGGGGCTGAGAAACATAGTTCAAGCGTGAAGCCTTTGGTTCAGTCTCTAGCATTGTATAAAGCAAAAGGCAGAAGTACTCAATGATTGTAACTCAGTTTAGCTAGTGCTTGCTTAACACACACAAAGCCCTGCATCATGAAGTCCAAGCACCACATAAACCAGGCATGTGCATGCCTACACCAATGTGGGGAGGGGGAGACAGAGGATTAGAAGCTAAAAATCACCTTGGTTATGTAAGTTCAAAGCTAGCCTGGGCTACAAGACTGTATTTTAAATTTTTTGCTTGTTTTTCCAGACAGGGTTTCTCTGTGTAACAGCCTTAGCTGTCCTGTCCTAGAACTCTTCTTTGTAGACCAGGCTGGCATCTAACTCACAGTAATCCACCTGTCTGCCTCCTGAGTACTGGGATCTAATTTTTTTTAGGTCATCCTCAGCTATATAGTTAATTTGAGACCAGCCCTGGCTGTCTTTCAAGACGGGGTTTCTCTGTGTAGCTTTGTAGACCAGTCTGACCTTGAACTCACAGAGATTCACCTGCCTCTACCTTCCAAGTGCTAGGATTAAAGGCGTGAGTCACCAATGCCCATTGAGACCATCTTAAACAAAACAAGAAACATGTTTAATCAACACTGGGTAGTTTTGTTTTTATGTTATGTCCCGAAACATGATTTTTTTTTTTTTTTTTTTGAGATAGAGACTCGTTATATAGCTCTAACTAGACTGGAACTCACTATGTAGACCAGCTGCCTTTGAACTTGTAATACTCCTGCCTCTTCATCTCAAGTGCTGGGATTACAATTATTCCCAGTGAGATTCTGATTTTACTGTTTAGGTGAAACCTAGGCAGGACCATTTTTTTTTTTTTAAAGCTCTTGAAGTGATCCTGACATTGGACTAAGATTGAAAACCACTGTGACATTATATATATCAGTGAACAAACTTAGCCAACTTTTAACTGAAATCCCAAATATTGAATTCAGAAAAAAATTTAAATTGGTTATGCACCAGAAAGTCTCAGATAGAGTGAATAAGCATTTTATATGAGTTTTAAGCAAACTAATTAAAAACATATAACTAGTTAAAACTGAAGCTGGTGGAGCTGGAGAAATGGTTCGGTGGTTAACAGCACTCTTCCAATGGACCTGGGTTCTGGCCGGGGTTCTGCTTGTATCAGTCCCACACTACAGAGGCTATCTATTCCAGACTGATGTCTTTGGGGCTGTGATCAGAGCCAGCCGAATAGCCCCGGGTCCATCCCTGAGTGGGGGAATACTGGACCGGGAAACTTTTAGCTACCAAACAGTGTTAAGGATGAGACACAGACATCTCATCTCAGGAGAGCTCTCAGTCTATCTGGAGATGGGAGTCCAAGGTTTATTCAAGGTTTATCCTCTTAAATAGCTTTCCAACTATGGGGGTGATATCAGAAGACAACTCTTATCATGTATAAAGCTGATATCAAATATATCCTTTAATCTTAGAGGCATCTCTAAAAATTGCACGTCCTCATCAGCCTCTCACCAGTCCCCTAGGAGCGAACACAAGCCCTCAGAACAGGTGTGGGCCTACTCAGGGCCTAGGTCTGTTCTTATGCAAACTAGGAGATATTCTCCACTGAGGCTAAGCCATCCAGGGGTAACCAGCAGGATATCTAAAAGACATGCAAGATTCGAGCTCCTGGGATAGAGTTTGAGGCCTGTATCCGAACTAACAAAATTGATATTTTTGGGCCCCCAAAAGGTTCTGTACCCAGTATGCACATGGCTGCTCATAACCATCTGTAACTACAGCTCCTGGGGGACTAATGCCCTCTTCTACCCTCCATGGGCACTGTCCACATG